CGAGTAGGGTTTCGAGACTACCAGTAAATCAGTGTAATGAGATGTATTCACTCTATTTCGTGTAAGGTGATAAGCGACTGGAAGTAGAATTTTCCCACAATCATATGAGTTGAGCTGACGTTTTCATTCAATTTCACATAGCCTTGCTTTCAACTTTTGGGAAAGCAAGGCTATGTGAAATTGAATGGAAACGTCAGCTCAATTCATATGATTGTGGGAAAATTCTTCTACTAGTCTTTCATCACCTTAGGGTGAATACATCTCATCACACAGGATAATAAAAGTCAACGTCAGTTGTCCCTCTGCTCTAGTCTTAATAACTCATAACTCTCTCATATTGTTCTTATGCCTCCCTCCGAGTTAGGAGGACTTTGAATTTTTCCGACGTAGTGGCTCGCTACTGCTCGACTCCCTTCGGCATACACGAGACTGCATCCAACAGTTGGCCAGGAAAGTCGAGCTGGTTGAGACGCACCTCGGCGTGGTTTACGGCGTACCCTATGCCGGAGCACTTGACCTTTGCAAGCCAGATGACAGTGGCCACGGCCAGGGCCAGTGAAAAGAGGCAGCAGGCAACTTGAGTGCATCAGACCGATTGGGAAACTGAGCACTGCTGGTCTGAATAGACTTCTTGTGGAAAGCAAGCGAGCCGCACTGGAAGGGCTTGAAGCTGATGTACACCAGCCAGGATTGCCGACCAAGAGTCAAACTGGGCGCATTCCCTTTTGCCGCCTTTTGCCGAGAAGACCTGATGATCCTTCTCTTCTTGCCTTCAGGCATCACCTTCACCGTCGCCATCGACGCTTTCATCATTACCTTGAAATAGTCATCGTTTTCGCGATCACGAGTTGTTCGCTTTACAGGCTCAAGGAGAGTTGATGGCTGTTCGGATCAGATTCTATTCCAGAATATTTCAATTTTTGTATTTTCCCTTTCATGTGCTAAGCCAAGGCATTTTCAGAAGAATAACGAAATAGTCATTGATATAAGACGTATTTTGTTCTATAAGGAAGCAACCTCTTGAAAATAATATCGTTGAGCAAAAAGCATTTTCCCATCTTCGTATACTACATCCATGTAGACGAACCTCTGTCCTTATTATCTGATGCAAACTTTTGAACATAATTTATCGCAAAGCAGAAGCTTGGGTTTTTTCATGGTCCGATTTCTTGAAAGTTTATTCATTGCGTGCTTTGTGTAATCTTCTGATGTTATTTGTCCTTTTGGTAAACCCCATTAAAAGCTTGTGTGATTGAATAATTTAATTTCAGGAATCGAGAAATGGGTTGTTTGAATGAAACCGGAAGGAGTTAGTAGCTAAATGCAATGTTGCTTGATGAATCTAATTAGGGGGGTGAGAATGAGTTTAGGAGTCACTATAGCTCTTCCGGCCAGAAGCTTTCATGTAAGGCATAGTTTCAAAACAAGGAAGAAACCTATGATGGGGTAAGTTGAATCGGATCCCAGGTTTTGAAACCTACTCATTTCCTCATTCGACAGGATATGTGGATTGCGCTGTCTTCATGTTTAGTATGGGATTTAGGGAAAAGTTTTCTGCATGCTTGAAGGGCTCAGACTTGTCAATTGTGACCGGCTTGGGACAGTTGGTCGGCAAACAAGTATCTCTACAATAATTACGATGACACAAAAGGGGCATTTTCGGTAGCCTCAAAAGTGGATGCATTTGCAGACTGTAAGGTCTATAGGCAGTGCTTACTTAAGGAGAGTTGGTTCGAGTGGAATGCAACCTATTTTCTCCATCTTATTGGTCAGATTTATTATGTGATTTGCGAATGAAGCACTAATTCTGTATCCATATGCCATTTATTCCCGGATGCAATTGTTATCTGCCTAGAGCTTTGGTTCATTTGCTGAATTGTGCTTCCTATCCAAGCCAGTCAAAACTGTCGATTTTGAGAATTTGTAAAGCGCTTGTTCCATGTTTTGATACTAAATCTAAATGATGGATCTCAGGAGGTGGATATTTATCTGAGGTGGTCATGAATACTCCATAGAGTGGTTTGTTATCAGATTTTGGGAATTGCCATTTATAGTAAAATCTATTTGTATTGCATCAATGATAAATACACCGCAATAATTTCCTGGTCTCTGGTGCTAACTCGCATCCCTAAAAGACTAAGTTTGTGGGAGAAAAAAGGATAAAAGTAGTTAAGTTTCTCCGCACGTAGATATATTCCATTGGCTAACGTTTGGTTAGAAGCATCTTACACCCAGTGTAGCACTGTATTTTGGGCTAGAACTACCAATATGGCGGCACTTGCCAACACTGTTTTCCACACATGTCAAAACACTTTTCACTTCTTTGTATAAAACGGTTTCTTTGTTTTTCGCTTTTTTATATTACCCTGAAAGGCTCTGTATAGCATCACTTCGATATATATAGAATAATCCGAAACTAGGAAAAAGTTAACTTCATACAAATGTTTATTATTTTCTGTGCTTTCTTCGGCATAGTCACTTTCTTTCTTCGTTTCATCTCCGTTTGTTTTGATAATCTGAACGCATTGGAACAATATTTAAAATAAAAAAACGAGATAACTCCCTATCCGAGGAAATGAAATGAGTTTTAATATGCGGGCTAACAGTATTGACAAACAAGGCTATTTTAGCATGTCTAGATCCAGAGACAGCGGCAGACTTGGGGACTGAGGCCTGTGTCCAAGCTCTAGGCAGTGGACTACAATTAGAGGATCTCCACAATATCTGCCATTTTTCTGCCTCAACCCAAGTCAATCCATGAAATGATATAGTGCCAGTGCTCGTGGACTTATAATGGTATACTCATTGGTTAAGTTTTTTGAATGTGCTCAAAGGAAGGCTGTTCCAAAAATCAGGTCACAAACCTTTATCTGGTGGATATAAGAGGGCTTCATATAAGTATCTACTTTGAAATATCTATCATTTAGTCTATGTTTAAAATTACTTACCAATATGCATCGCATTATGGATTTATACTAAGTATTTTCCAATGTTTTGTCTCGAATTAATCATATCACAATCTCTGTAGTTGCTAAATTTGCATTAAAGGCATTACAGCGAATTGGATCTTCTATAATAGTCAAGATACCACTCGAAAGTAGCCCAGATGGTTAGGGTGGAAATCTCGGAGGGATCGGAGTCTTTGTGTAGTTTCGAACATTTTGTCTGTTCTGGGAGTCACCTCATCCAGAACTGCTCTATGTAAAAATCAGCGGAATAGTTCGGCAAGCTGACGAAGACTATCTAGTAAGACTGGGAGTTTCTAATCGCTCAGAACTTTCGAGTCCATCAAAGCTTCCTTCCTCTTTTCCAGCAGAGATGAAACAAACAAGATGATATATTGTGCTCGGTTGATCACATTTTTAAAATTTGGCCTAGGCAACAGGTAGACCTTTTGAAATGTACCTAGTCTTGCGTCGTATGCCCTCAAGTAGTCATGAGGATTTCTAGCATCAGACCATTGAGTTGACACATTCCTCTGGATACATCCATTTGGAAATCATCGTGAATACTATGACAGAGAACGCAGAACTAGGTACATTCCAAAAGCTCTCCCTGTCGTTCTGACAAAGTTGCAAAAAAGAGATCAAACCAGTACTATGTAGATAAAGGCGACTGCGTCCAAACAAAAGCGCACACCATCTTGTTCTTTATAGCTCGATGATATATTGTTCAAGTTAGTCATGACAATTTAGAACTTCTTTCACGAAGCATAATTCTTGGGCGACGATGAATAGGTCATCTGGAAGATGCTCGAATATCATGATAAATATGTTATCTCTTTCCAAAAGTACGTGTACTTCAATTTCATTTTAGCAAGCTCATACTGGAGAAATAGCTGATTTTTGTCAAATCGGGCACTCCAGTGTTGTTAGAACCGACTAAGAATAAATAGTTAGGGGGACCTTCATTTGGATTGGAAGTGCACAAAGAAGAGATTCGTTGGTCGATCTCACCAGATAAGAACCGATGAAACTCGTTGTACTGTAGCCGTTTGGCTTTTATACGATATTCATGTTGATGCAGTCTACGAGAATTCGTCCCTCGTTTCGGATAAAACGAGTCTATGCTGAGCTTTCGTCCATCATATGAATGACATCATCAAAGCTGGGTGTCATTCTTGTAAAAGTCTCACATTAACACTAAAGCAAAAACACTATCCGGTTCTATCTTACTTCTTATATAGGCTCAAACGAGTCAAATATTAAAAAATACAAACCTAGATATGTTAATTTTCTTTAATACTGGTTCTGTTATTTTTGCTCGATTGTATGAGAATGCATATTTGTGTGTGTATGCGTCTATATTCAATACGGTTCCTAAATAAGACTTTTCAAAGGTTAAATCTCCTGTTTTGATCCTTAAGACTTAATAACCC